CAATTCTCTATGGTCCCCGTCTAGTGCTCTCTCTAGGTGTCTACTACTCTTTTAACAAAACTTATCCCCACACACTCACTGTCTGTTGCAGTTTTTTTGTTTTTTAACAGACTTTATTTTTTTAGGGCAGTTTTAGACTCACAGAAAAGTTGTACTTAGAAATTAATTTAGTTCTTTCATGGATCATGTCTTTGATATTGTATCTAAAAAGTCATGGCTAAACCCAAGATCTATATTCCTATGTTATCTTCTAGGAGTTTTATAGTTTTTCATTTTACATTTAAGTCTATTATCCACTTTGAGTTAACTTTTGTGAAGTGTATAAACTCTATGTCTACATTCTTTTTATTTTTTTGCATGTGAGGGCCCAGTTGTTTTAGCATCATTTGTTGAAAATACGATCTTTGCTACATTGTATTGCCTTTGCTCCTTTCTCAAAGATCAGTCACTTATATTTGTGTGGGAGCTTATTTCTGAGCTCTCTATTCTGTTCCATTGATCTGACTATTCTTTCACCAATACCACATTATTTTAATTCGTGCAGATTTATAGCAAGTCTTGCATTTGGGTAGTGTCATTCCTCCAACTTTGTTTCCCTTCTTCAATATTGTGTTGGCTATTCTGGGTCTTCTGCCTCCCCATATAAACACTAGAGTCTGCAAAATAACTTTCTGGGTTTTTCATTGGGATTGTATTGAATCTATAGATCAAGTTAGGAAGAACCAACATCATGATGATATTGAGTCTTTCTATCCATGAACAGAGACTAACTCTTCATTTATTTATTTATTTGATTTCTCTTATCAGTTTTGTAGTTTTCCTCTAAAAATCTTGTACGTATTTTGTTTGATTTATACCTACATATTTCATTGGGGTGTCAATATAAATGTTATTGTTTTTAATTTCAAATTCCACTTGTTCATTGCTGGTATATAGGAAAGCAACTGACTTTTGTAGGTTAACTTGGTATGCTGCAAACTTGTTATAATTGCTTATTAATTCCAGGCAATTTTTGGTCAGTTCTTTCGGATTTTCTACATGAACAATAAAGTCACCTGCAAACAAAGACATTTTATTTCCTCCTTCACAATCTGTATACCTTTTATTTCCTTTTTTTGTCTTAATGCATTAGCTAGGACTTTTAGTACAATGTTAAAAGCAAGTGGTAAGAGGGGACATCTTTGCCTTATTCCTAATCTTTGTGGGGAATCTTCAAGTTTCTCTCCATTAAATATGAAGTTTACTATAGGCTTCTGCAGATGTTATTTAACAAGTTGAAGAAGTTCCCCTCTATTCCTAGTTTGCTGAGAGTTTTTTTTCACTATGAATGAGTGTTGTATTTCTTCAAATATTTTTTTCTACATCTATTATGATCATTTGATTTTTGAATGTTGAACTAACCTTGCATGCATGGAATAAATCCCAGTTGGTCAAGGTATAAAATTCTTTTTTTTTTTTTTGGTCGCACCTCATGTCTTGCAGCATCTTAGTTCCCTGACCAGGGATCAAACCCGAGGCCCCAGCAGTGAAAGCACTGAATCCTAGCCACTGGACTGCCAGGGAATTCCCTATAAAATTCTTTTTATACACTGTTGGATTCAATTTGCTAGTTTGTTTTTAGACAGATTACTAAGCTCGCCAGTGCTTTTATTTCCTCTTTCTCTAAAACTGGAATAATAATCTTTGTCCCAGATATTTTTCTAAAAGTCCTGTGCTGCCAATCTGCAGGAATGGTGAAAACCCATTAGCTCAGAAGCTAAGCCTGATTTTAAATACAGCTCTGCCACTTCTCAACTACATAGACCTGGGCCAGTCATTCACCCTCTTGAGGACTTCACTCACTTATTTACCATGGAATCACTAAGGACATCCAAAAATGGCATTTAAAAGCAGCTTCTCAAAATTTTAATTAGATCACTCACTTTTTAAATTTCTGTCAAGATGATTAAATGCACTATGTATGTGAAAGCACTTCTTTTTTCCTCTCTTTTTTGCTATCCTGAGATTGCACTTCCCAATAAAGCATGATCAATCAAGCTTTGCTGTGTATTCTATTTTCTAAAAAACTTGAGCCATGGTATTCATTTAAAGTACCATTATTATTAGGAACATCATCAAAGCACTTTTTCTTTTCATTCATTTCCTGTTTTAAGTTGTTGACTATTCTTCAAGGCTATCCTTATGAAACAATTTCATTCAGGTGAAATCAGATTAAAAAGGACACCAAGTGCAGCTCAGAGGAAGAAAATATATCCCAAGAGAGAAATGAGAATATTAAAGATTTGTCTGTATGGATGGAATAGGTGCCCCTTCTGTTTCAGGAACTCCTCTGCTTTAGCAACCATCTGACTGGTGCTAACAGGTCCCATGAGTCCCCCATTAGAAACCTCCTTTAAAAGACTGTCCAGTCACATGGTCCCTTGAGGTGGGTACCTGGCCATAAACACACACACACACATACATGTGCACATACCATGTGTTGCCTAGAGCAGTTCTCCATTTCACATATCCCAGAGTCTAAGGCCATGGTTCCCTGATTTTCCTCTTTTGCCAATCTTTTCATAAAGTAAAGACCTCTTTGTCACAAAAATATAGGAGTTACATAATCTCAGAGTAAATTGCTTTTCTTTCAATTAAATAAATTTAGCCATAAGAAAAAGTCCCTACATTATCCTTATTTTTCTCATTTTACCACATACTGGTGAAATTTTGTCACAGACTGGTGTTTGGAAATCACTGGCAGAGGGGCAACTCAGCTAATGAGCCAAATAGAGAACTGGGAAAGGCTGACTCACCTCACCAAAGTGAGGAATGTTCCAGTATAGAAAAACACTAGGAAATACCCGATCCAAGAAGGACAGTTTAGGATCAACCTCAATACTTTAAGTGGTTAAAACCACTGTGCATTTAATAGATGTTGTACAACAAATCAGATGCGAGAGTGTTGGTCCAGGCACCCAGGCCTTCTCTTTCTTTTGCAAAGATCATCCTTACAACCAAAATCAAAAGCCCAATTTTTCATTACTTTTATAGATATTACTTCAACATAATTTTTCTTCAAATATATCTGAGGTATTATGGCCAATGCCATAGAACACTGAGTAAGATTAACATTCATGAATATATGTTTGTTTTGAGAACATGACCCTGACAGAGTGTGAAGTTCTGTTTTTTTTTAGGAATCGTTCAGGGCAGGACCAGACAAAGTCCCTGCCCTTGAAGTCCTAACTTTCCAAGTTTACATACACATAGCACACATAGTATGAAAGACACAGGGCATATGAAAGGGTTAGTTTTGTATTTGGTTTTGATATCTGCTTTAATTCCCTAATAGAAGAAAAGAAAGGAAGGAAAGAGGATGGGAGGGAGGGAGCAAAGGAGGGAGGAAGGGAGGGAAAATGGAAAGCAATAATGGTGGTTCCCAGAAAGAAGGACAATGGCTGGTGGGAGATTTATGGGAAGTGAAAGTCCTGATCCTGCCCAGCTTGTCCGGGAACTCTTCCTGCTGAGGGGTGATTTGTGAACTGCTGTCTGGTCAGCAGTTCCAGGGAGTCAGTTCTGGACTCTAATCCTCACATTTAGAATCACTAAACCCAAGCCAAGGTTGTTTTCCAGGAATAGGGCTTTATAGGGTAAGGCTACTTCATGCATTGTGTGGTAATTAGTGAATAGTCCACTTCATATTTAAGAACAGAGTCAGGACAGAAAAAAAAGATGTAGTAATATTACCAAAGCTTGGAAAGCACTAATTTAAAAAAAAATCATTTCTTTCCAGAATCGATATGGCCCCACATGACAGTGGGTATGAATGGTTAAATATTCAAACCTCTGAACTGATAAATCATGAAGGACTTTCATTGATGCTTCCAAGTAAACGTCATGACACCAATAGTTCTGTTTAATAAACCAATTTTCAGTTCAACAGTAACAGCAGCTAGCATGTATTGAACTCTTCCCACATGCCAGCCACTGTCCTAAACACTGATGTCACCTGCAATATTGCATTTAGTCCTCACAGTAGTCCAGAAAGTTAATTAATATACTTATGTCCATTCTACAGATGAGGAAACTATGTCTAAGAAAGTTCAAGTAACTTATTCAAAGTTAGTTCGATAATAAAGGTGGAGCCAGGGTTTGAGCCCAAACAGTCCAGCCGCAGAGCCCCATGCCTCCATTATACATTTACTTCCATTCTAATAGTTACTTTTCTCACTCAAAGTCACTCTGAGCTTTAAAGTCACATAGATATAGATTTAAATCCTGATGTGTGACCCTAGAAAAGTCGTTGAATTTCTTAGAGTCTTAGTTTTTTATCTGTAAAAGAGAGTAATCATACCACTCTGCAAGATTACTGTGAAAGTGAGAGGCAGTACATGGAAGCCATTCAATACATGGGAAGTATTAACCACAGCACAGACAGGACATCAAGATTAAAAAGGGAAAATAAGCAGACAAAAGACACAGAGACCAGGCACTCAGGACCTATCTCCAGGGTAAGGGATAATTGGTAGTAGATCACCTTCACAAAGACTGAAGGAAGTAACTTCCCTTTAAGCAATTCAGTTGTTAAAGTAAAATTTGAGTATACTTGCAAACAGGATTTCAGGTAATAACATTTAAAACAAAACAAACAAACAAACAAAAACCAACAAGAAAGAGGAGTAGATCCTGTACAAAGAAATAAAACAAAACCCAAGCCATTACAAAAGATTATGCTCTGAGCCACACCAAGCCAAATTTATTCACATGGTAAAGGAGGAATTGATGTTTGTATCAGGACCCATCTGCGTGTCATAGATAATGCAATATCTACAAAAGCATGTTAAACCAGACATAGTTCTTTATCCTATGTTGTAGAGGAGTCATCTCTGTGACTCTATTGTCTCAAAGAAACTCTAGGTTAAAGAATAACTCTGGTAGAACCCTAGACAGTGGATATCCACGGGCAATTGCTGTCGAGAATCTAACGTGTAGTGTGGGAAAACAAATAGATAACAGACCTTAGAGAAGATCACGTTAGCAAGGTCTCCAGCATTCTTGCGCTCTGCATTCTCTAAGTAATGTAATTTCCCAGTCCAGTAGAGGTTCATAGCTTTTCCACCGTGGAAACACTAAAGATCTAACATGAAAAGGAAAAAAAAAATTAGGAAAGAGTGAGTGGAAATGATAGAACAAATAGCAAGAGTACAATCTAAAGGAGTCTGAGAGGGGATCTGCTGTGCTAGCACAGAAATATCCATGAGCATTTTGCTCCCATATGTTGGAGTCTTCCATTCTATAGGTCCCTATCCTCACAGTGCACTGCAACAAAAACGTAAAATTTATGAAAATAAAACCTATTTTTTGCTAGTTTGTCTTTTGTACATAAATTTTGCAGACAAAAGCTTGAATTTAAAAAATTCAGTCAGAAACTTGCAGTTTTAAGATTTACTTAATTCCTATCTACTAAAACAAAATCAATCTTTTGGAGAGATCCTTCAAAAAGGTTTTCATTCATTAAATGTTACTATGTTTTTCAGAAACTGACTTTAAAGACTGCTATTAGAATACAAAAAAATATGCTTATGACTATATTTCTCATTTTATCCCATGCCATGGTGTTTTAATCTGCTATTATTACTTGAATACCTAGTAGGCACTCTGGATATTTGTTAGATAACAGGAAGAATTTGCTAAGGAGTTTTAAATCCTTTCATGATTTCATAATTTATCATTTCACGATAATTAAGACCAAGAGCTCTGAGATCAAATGGACCTAATTCACTATCTGTGGCCTTAAGCAAGTTTTTATAACTTCTTTAAGCCTCAGATTGTTCATTAAAAAAATCTCAATATATAATTACTTCTTCCATTGGGTGGTCACTTAGATTAATAAGATAATTAATATAAAACTCTTAGCTCAGAACCATGCTCATGGTTCTAAAGTGCTAAAAAACATTAGCTACTAACAATTTTACACCTTATCTTAGCAAATAATGTACACAATTCTTTAATCTGCCTTTAATCTTTAATCTTGCATTCCTATACACTAAAAATGAAAAATCAGAAAGAGAAATTAAGGAAACAATCCCATTTACCATGGTAACAAAAAGAATAAAGTACCTAGGAATAAACCTACCTAAGGATGCAAAAGACCTGTACTCAGAAAACTATAAAACACTGATGAAATAAATCAAAGACAACATAAACAGATGGAGAAATGTACCATGTTCTTAGATTGGAAGACTCAATATTGCGAAAATGACTATACTTCTCAAAGCAATCTACAGATTCAATGCAATCCCTATCAAATTACCAATGGCATTCTTCACAGAATTAGAACAAAAAGTTATACAATTTGTATGGAAACACAAAAGACCCCGAAAAGCCAAAGCAATCTTGAGAAAGAAAAATGGAGCTGGAGGAATCAGGCTCCCCAACTTCAAAGTATATTACAAAGCTACAGTAATCAAGACGGTATGGTACTGGCACAAAAACAGAAATATAGATCAATGGTACAGGATAGAAAGCCCAGAGATAAACCCACACACATATGGTCACCTAAGTTATGACAAAGGAGGCAAGAATATACAATGGAGAAAAGACAGCCTCTTCAATAAGTGGTGCTGGGAAAACTGGACAGCTACATGTAACACCATACACAAAAATAAACTCCAAATGGATGAAATATTTAAATGTAAGACCAGACATTATAAAACTTTTAGAGGAAAACATAGGAAAAACACTCTTTGACATAAACCACAGCAATATCTTTTTTGACCCACTTCCTAGAGTAATGAAAATAAAAAAATAAATAAACAAATGGGACCTAATGAAACTTCAAAGCTTTTGCACCGCAAAGGAAACCATAAACAAGACGAAAAGACAACGCTCAGAATGGGAGAAAATATTTGCAAACAAAGCAACTGACAAAGGATTAATCTCCAAAATACACAAACAGCTCATGGAGCTCAATATTAAAAAAATAAACAACCCAATTAAAAAGGAAGACCTAAATAGACATTTCACCAAGGAAGACCTACAGATCCAAGAGGCACATGAAAAGATGCTCAACATCACTAATTATTAGAGAAATGCAAATCAAAACTACAATGAGGTATCACCTCACAATGGTCAGAATGTCCACAAACAATAAATGCTGGAGAGGGTGTGGAGAAAAGAGAATCCTTTTGCACTGTTGGTGGGAATGTAAATTGATACAGCCACTGTGGAGAACAGTATGGACATTCCTTAAAAAACTAAAAATAGAACTACCATATGACCCAGCAATCCCACTAATGGGCATATACCCTGAGAAAACCATAATTCAAAAGGACACATGTACCCCAATGTTCATTGCAGCACTATTTACAATAGCCAGGACATGGAAACAACCTAAACGTCCAACAACAGATGAATGGATAAAGAGGATGTGATACATATTTACAATGGAATATCACTCAGCCATAAAAAGGAAAGAAATTGGGTCATTTGTAGAGATGTGGATGGATCTAGAATCTGTCATGCAGAATGAAGTAAAACAGAAGGAGAAAAACAAATATGGTATATTAGTGCATATATGTAGAATCTAGAAAAATGGTATGGATGAACCTATTTGTAGGGCAGGAATAGAGATGAAGACATAGAGAACACACACATGGACATGGTGGGGAAGGGGAGGGTGGGACAAATTGGGAGATTAGGACGGACATATATACACTACCATGTGTAAAATAGAAAGCTAGTGGGAACAAGCTTTAAACACAGAAAGCTTAGCTCCGTGATCTGTGATGACCTAGATGGGTGGGATGCGGGGGGAGTAGGAGGGAGGTCCAAGAGGGAGGGGATATAGGTATACATATAGCTGATTCACTTCATTGTACAGCAGAAACTAACACAACATTGTAAAGCAATTATACTCCAATTTTTAAAAAATCTCAATATACAATTACTTCTTCCATTGGGTTGTCACTTAGATTAATAAGATAATGAATACAAAACTCTTAGCTCAGAACCATGCTCATGGTTTTAAAGTGCTAAAAAACATTAGCTACTAACAATTTTACACCTCATCTTAGGCAAATAATGTATACAAATCTTTAATCTGCCTTTTTGGCCATATAAAGTATATATTAAGCCTTTTTGTGAAAGTATCAAGTATTTGGTCATTGCAAAATGACATACTTTTTTGTGGAGATTCGTGAGACTCATCGACAAACAGATGAACAAAAAATGTCTCAGAATCTGACTTGTTCATGACTTCATGGTAGCTTATTGGTAGCAGGAGATGGAAGTGGATTCAGTAGCAGAGGCAAGAGCACAGAGACCAGGAGAGAGAGAATAGTACACTAAGAGGAAAAAGGGAAGGCCCATTTTCTGATGCTGAGCCTCATACCATGTTTGACAGGCACCACTGAAAAAGCTGGGTCATCCATAATAACAATTACCTGGGAAGAAAAGGATGCCCCTCCCTTTTTTTGGCAGGGGAGGGGCAGGGAGGGAGATGGAAAGAGAAGAAAGAAGCAGAAAACTTCACTATACACAAAATGGAGATCAAGGTGGGCCTGCGGGGGGCAGTGCGGTATAGTGGACAGAGCATGGGCTGTATAATGAGATAGATCTAAATTTGGTTTTGTAGCTGGGTTATTTGCTCCCTAGGCTAAGTACCTATTGCTCTTCAACAATTTGTGCCACTCTCACTTTACCTTTGTAATGGTAATAAAAATTATAACTATAAAATATATAAATATAAAAATTATAATTATGTCATAGGGATGTTGTGAAGATATAATGAAACAACAATGCTGGTTGAGTGCCCAATCCATTTTCTGGTCTTAGGAAATACTTCTCACACACTCTGCAGGCAAGGAAGGTACAAAAATCCTTGCTGAAGCATTGTTTCTTGCACTGGTTTAGTCATTTCTTCCATAAGCATTCCTGGTAATTGTGGGAGATTTGTGTTGTGTCAATTTAGCTAAACTGGGACTACATTTCCCAGAATCCACATTTCCCTCATGTGATCAGTTCTCAGCTAGCTTCTGGTGCTGAGAAGGTTGGTGCAGCACAAGGCACTGCTGCAGCTCCTGCCTGGTGGTGCTGACCCCCTGGCTTCTTGGCTGGAGGGTGTCAGCAGCCAGATGCTTAACTCTTCCAGATCCTACTGCATCTCCTGCTCTGAGTTCTCCAACTCCTGGCCCAGATGTGTGTTTAGCAATGTGACAAAGGGGCACCAGCTTCTCCTGAAGAAAACCCTCATCATCAAAGTTTGAAACTTGGAGGCAGTAAGGAGCCCATACAGGTTCCAGTTCATTCTTAAGGGTTCCAGCTCAGACTTGCAGGTTCCAGTTTGGCCTTTTTTTCCCCCACTCCACAACCATCCTCCCTTCCCAACCATCTGCCTGTGGACATCAGGTTCCAGCACTAGGCTCAGACACTAAACTTCACATACACTGTTTCTCCTGTTTCCATAACTGTGTAAGGTCAAAACTTTATGATAAATGCCTATTAAAATACATATCTATATAGTTATAGATATATTCATACATTTATCCTGGTCATCTTCTCTGATAATCTGATAAGAACCTTAACTGATACAGTGGGCTCTCTCTCCTTGTTCCAGGAACTGTGTTATGGACTGACAAAACTGATGAATAAGGTACTGACCCTATAGTTACAAAATTATCACAATTCTTAAAGGAAAAATCAGCCTTTGCTCACCATACAAGAAATTATAAAGTTTCTATGGATTTGCCTACTTTGGACAGATCATATAAATGAAATTATGCAATATGTGACCTATTGTGTCTTTTTTTTTTTTCACTTAGCATGCTTACTAAGTTTATCTACATTGCTGGATGTATCAGTACTTCACACTTTTATGACTGAATAATATTCAATTGTATGGATATATCACATTTTGTTTATTCATTTATCCATTGGTGGACATTTAGGTTGTTTTCACTTTTTGGAACTATAGAGTTCCAAACTAGATAGTGATAGTTACACAACATTGTGAACACACTAAATGCCACTGAATTACACACTTTAAAATTGTTAATTTTATATTATATAAATTTCACTTCAATAAAAAATTTTAAGGTTATGAAGTTATAAGGTTGGTTTCCTTTAGTTTAAAAAAAT